TTTATTCGCGACTAGCTACCAAAACCACCAGCAGGAGAACACATGTCACATACCTGCGACACACGATAGCTAAATCATTTTTGACAGGGCCGTTAATAAGCACGACCTTAGAATTCACGTGATGCAGACTTGGAAAAATTACACCTGCTGACGATCAGAAAACCTTTCATCAACTTGTAAACCTGTGGAAGACAGACAGATGTGGGTATGAAGCAGAAAACGCAGATCTCTGACACCTCAGTGCATCAGGAACGATCGACATTGCTGCGTTCGCCTCCTTCACCCTTATCTTCCACTCGAACTACCTTTGACGTGACCTACTTAATGCATCAAAGTTGGCTCAGTGCCAAAAGTTGTGGAAGATCAGCCACAAAGTCGTGAAGCCAAAAGTGGCTTACGTGCAGTTAATTCGCCTCTGTGCCTATTACGACGTGGAGAAAAGTTGCCTGGACCGTTAATGCTGCGATCGATCCACGTCTACAGCAGGAAATTGTGGAAAACAATTTGGGGTAAACGAGCCACATAATCCATACGCTAAGGTAGATGAAAGAGGTCGCGAGAACCCCGATGTTAGGAAGAGAATATTTGCCGGCTGACTGACGAAATGATCCGCGATGAGACATGAAGTTAGCTTTGCAGCAATGAACAACAAGTGAATATGGCGTTGACGATCACCATCAACCGATCTCCTAGTCACACTACCAAGGCGCCTGGCATTCCGTTGGCGGGAGAAATGAACATAGGTGGGTGTGATGGGCTAGAGAGGCAATTGGTCGCAAAATGAAGTGTAAGTTAACCCAACTGCGATTCTTCGCTCTATTTAATGCATACGTGTGCACTCAGAGGTAGGCAACGGGTAAATAAAGCCCTGTTGACATTCTCCGAGAGCCTAATGCAATGTAAAAAAGGAGAAGACACCTCCCTACCTCCCCATCCTCAAAATTACCCGATCCAATTTCGCCACTCTCAAGTACTGATTATTATCAAAAAATTCTTGTAAGAGTAAACAGTCCCATGGGAACCGATAGACAGAGCCAAATTATTCCTTAGCCTTCATTGAATGGGATCGATCAATCATGCTTAGTCATTTAGCAAAAGTTCAGTGCTTCTCGTTCAGTAAAACAATTGCATCAGGTTGAGGCCCAACAATGAACTTGTAACCTTACCAATTGCATAGATTAAAGCATTAGAAAAACTGCCGGCCCAGAAACTACGATAACACCCACATGCACAAGCAAATGTGTGTGCGTGAATGTTTGAATTGCCAAAGACATTTGATTACGGTTACTGTGATTTTCGTAATCGTAGAAACCAATCAAGGCAAAGCAACTCGTTGACATAGGAGTGGATTATTAGCTCCCCCAAAACAAATCATAAAGGGTGTAAGTTTTGAAGCGCAATTTTGTGCAGATGGTTATCATAAACGGATAAAGGAACACATATAGCAAATTCATTCTACAGCTAAGGTCGAACGTATGACAGGAGAGAACCACTGGGGAGGCTGAAACTTTAGTCGGTTTCAGTAGTTCTAAAGCTGAACGAGAAAAAAGGATTAGCTGAGCGTAAGGGACGCGTGTACTATAGGACACCAATCCACTGTAAACAGTGCCGAAGTTATGCTTGCCATAGGACATTAACTTATAGATCCATAGAAAATAACTAGGGGTACCCACAAATAAGGTTGGAATCAGACAGCTTCCGTTCGAAGCACATTCACTTCTGATCCCAAAGTGCAGATTTAGACAAGCAGCAACATGCAGAAGGCGAAAAGAGCTAGACAATTGGAGCGATTCAACGATATCACCTCTACTGTCTTCGTGAGCTTGCGACAAATATCGCAGTGGCAAGAGATTTCATCAATCATTCTATATGTCTTAAAGGCGAACCTGGTTGCTGAAAACGCATTCCAGAGCAAAGGAAAATGACAAAATTATTAAAAAAAGAAACTCACGGATTCACGGAGACTGGGTGGGAGAACGGGATGTGCCAAAGAGGAGAGATGTTGTTGTTGTTGTTGCTGGGATGGTTCCAGAAGGGGTGGTGGAGGTAGAGCAGTAGCGCCAGGAGGAGGAGGAGGAGGAGGAGGAGGAGGAACAGGGGCAGGAGGGCCGCTAGCACTGGGATTATTTGTCTGATGGTGCGTTGGAGGAGGAGCCTGTACCTGACCCTCAGCTCCATTGGGATGGTGCTGCTGCTGGTGGTGATTGAAATCCAACGCTTGTTTCGACGTCGGTTGTGGGGCAGCCAGTTGCTGTGGTTGGGGTTTCACGTCAGCGAGGTAGCCCGCAGCAGCAGCGGCCGCTGCCGCTGCAGCCGTAGTAGAATTTGGATTGGTGGTGGGGGAAGTCTTTTCCGGAAGCAGGTTCATGTGCCAATTACCACCTCCCTCCAGATGGCACATTCCATTTAGCTACAAAGGCGTCAGTAGATCTCACTAATACAATTGAACGCATAGACCTCAAGAAATCGACATTTTAATAAACCGATCAGAGGAAAGCTGCAAGTTTCCGAGTCAACATTCTACATTTTAGATGGAGGAGGGAATTATCCTTTAGAAACCTTACATATTCCCCTGCGCAGTTACCCAGTGAGAACTGGAAAATGACCTCACCAAGGAAAATATAACCTTGAGAGGCATAAGAAATATCACCTAACCAAAAAAGTTTGCTCCCGACTTCTACACGAACACTGGAACCTCAAGTAATTTTTTACCATAGACATACAAAAAATACGGCACCAATGTAGATCAGGGTTTTCCGGTACGCAGGTAGACCTGATCCTTCTTCTTACCACGTTTCGCCCATAAGATAAAAATATTAACTCAACTCAGTCGGCAAGGGAATAAGTTTGCGTATTGAACAGCTGGAAAGATCCTCACTTCCCGAAAAATA